AAAGACAGTACAAGAGAGATTATTCAAATGGTGGTGGTGTTGTTGATGGAGAATTCATATTATAAGGATATGTTTACATCATAGGCCATAGATAAAAAAGCGACCTAAAACAGCCAGGCCAGCCTGCCCCCAGTACAGGAGCCCTGTACAGTATCTTGATATGTGGTCATCCAGGAATTCTTTTGTTATATAATGCTGAAATATAAATAACAAAATTTATCATTAATATATACAATAAGCATTTTAAGAATATAATTTAGTGATATTAAGCCCCAAAAGATAATGAGATCATGTCCTTTGCAGCAACATCGATGGAGCTGGAGGCCATTATCCTAAGAAAACTAACAGAGGAACAGAAAATCAAATTCAGCATGTTCTTTCTTACAGGTGGGAGCTAAACACTGAGTACATTATAGACACAAAGAAGGGAACAACAGACACTGCGACCTACTTGAGAGTGGAAGGTGGGAGGAGGGTGAGGATCAAGAAACTACCTATCAAACAATGCTTATTACATGGGTGATGAAATAATCTGTACACCAAACCCCTTGTATACCAAACCTGCACATGTACCCCGGATCTAAAATAAAAAGCTAAAGAAAGAACATTCATAACGGTGTGCAACCATTGCAACTATCCACTTCCAGAACTTTTTCATCATTCCAAACACTCTGTACTTCTTAAATAATAACTCCGCATTCCTCTGTGTTCCCAGTTCCTGGTAACTACTTTTCTATTCTCTTTCCCTATGAATTTGCTGAGTCTAGAATCCTCAAGTAAGTGGAATCATAATACTTCTCCTTTTGTGTGTGGTTTATTTCAGTTATTTATTTGTTTCATTTATTTTTAAGGTTCATCCACGTGGTAGCATGTATCAAAACTTCATTCCTGGCCGGGCGTGGTGGCTCATGCCTGTAATCCCAGCACTTTAGGAGGCCGAGGCGGGCGGATCACCTGAGGTTGGAAGTTCGAGACCAGCCTGACCAACATGGAGAAACCCCGTCTCTACTAAAAATACAAAATTAGCCAGGGATGGTGGCATACTCCTGTAATCCCAGGTGCTTGGAAACCTGAGGCAGAAGAATCGCTTGAACCTGGGAGGTAGAGGTTGTGGTGAGCCAAGATCGCACCATTGCACTCCAGCCTGGGCAACAAGAGTGAAACTCCATCTCAAAAACAACAACAACAACAACAACAACAACAACTTTATTCTTTTTTACAGAGAAATAAAATTTTGTAGTATGTATATACCACATTCTATTTATTCACTTATTTATTAATGGCAACTTGGGCTGTGTTCACCTTTGGGCTCTTGTGAATAATGCTGCTATAGGCCGTTGGTATACAAGTGCCTGTTTGTATCCTCGCTTTCAATTCTTTTGGGTGCACACCTGGGATTGAATTGTGGGATCACTTAGGCATTCTATATTTAACCTTTACAGAAACCATCAAACTTGTTTTTCACAGCGGCTGTAGCATTTTACATTCCCACCAGCAATGCACAAGTGTTTCCTTTTCCCCACATTCACACCAACACTTGTTATTTTTTGTTTGTTGTTTTATTTTTTATAACTGCCATCCTAATGAGTGCAAATTAGTATCTCATTGCCATTCGGGTATTCTTAAACACGTTCTGTGCCAGGGAGCACCAAACAACACCAGGAAGCTATTGCAGATCATCTTGAATTGTTAGAAGGCTCTTATTAACTAGTACTAAATCTTGCCTCCCTGTCAGTGACTCTAATTCATTACACATCAGAGTCATTTGGGAGCTTTTAAAAATTTCTCCATCCAAGCTGCAATCCAGACCAATTAAATTAGCACCTCTGAGGGTGGATTCCCAGAATCAGCATTTTTTAAGGCTCCTCAGGTAACTTAAATATGCAGGTAAGGCTGGGAACCACTGCTTAAAGTTCACCCACTGGTCTTAGCCTCACAACCTGTGATAACCTTATTAATGAGCTTTGTCTGACATCCTTTATTAAATAGCCAGCCTGCAATCCCCCGTGGGCCATCCAGTCCTCCTTACCCTCCTAGATATTTTTTCTTTTTGCCATGGACTGTTACAGTTGACATGTTACATACTGTCTTGTGCATCTGTTTATTGTCTGTTTTGCTCTCTGTTTTTCTTATTGCTGTTTCTCTAGGACATGCAACAATGCCTAACACAGATTAGGTGCTCAGAAATTGTTGAATGGCTGAATATGTAAATCTACTCTTATTTCAAATGGCAGCCCTCAGATAGCTAAAAGTAGCTTTTGCATTTCATCTCTGCACCTTCTTTTCTCTAGGTGAAATCTCTATACTTTCAACCAGTCTTCAAAGACATTGAATAATAAATACAACCCTTATGAGCACAATGTATCTCTCTTTCACTGAATCAGCAAGTAATTGAGCACTTACTATGTAAGCCATCATCTACATATGTAATATTAATTCGTAGTATTGCATGTACATTAATACATACTCTAGAGATTGTGCCAGACACTGGAGATTGTAGCGAAAAAGATAACCAAAGTCAACCTGTGGAATTGGGGCATAGACAACCGTCAATAACATAAGTCTTTTCAGATAACAGTAAATACTGTAAGGAAAATGAAAAATGTTTGTTGGCTGTGGTACATTAACTGGGTGTTAAATTTAATCTGAGACCTGAATGACAAGAAGTCAGTCACTGAAGAATCATTCTAGGAAGAAGGCACCTCAAATCCGGAGGCCCTGGGGTTGGAGGAGATGAGTTGCAGAGGGGCTGTGAGTCAGAGACTCTGAGAAGGACAGGGAAGAGAACCACCATCACCTCCTTTGTTAGTGCCTAACTCAACTAACATGACGTAAGATCAAATGAGTTTTTGGTGGCTACATTAGCCTGTTAAGGTCTTTTTCCTAAGTGTACAGTTTTCCTCACTGAATTAAATCTTCCCTATCTAATATTTGTACTGTTGATAGTTAGAACTTAAGTGTAGAAGGGTGATTTAGATGAGCATATCTGGAATTTCTTTTCATCTGAACCCCAGCCAAAACAATCTATCAAACTGCCTAGAAAAACACTTCTCAGCTGAATGGAGGGACTTTCTCATTCTCCAACCACTACCAGACTGGTTCCTCATTCCTTTTGGCACCTTGTCTTCTGTGCCAGCTTAACAGAAGTTCTGGACAAGGCCAAAGCCAGGACTTTGCAGGCTGCTTCCATTTGGAGAGGGCATGCATCTTAATTTTCAGTCAAAAGAGCTCAGGAAAGACAAGAGAATTCTTGATTTTTGGAACTCTGTGTTCTCATTGGTGGGCTCACAGAACAAGCAGCCTCTCCCAGACCAGCCACTAACATGCTCTGACAAGTCAGCTCTTCTTTCCCATATTCAAATGTGGGGTTTGGGTCTAGGACAAACCTGTCCAACCCACAGTCTGTCGGGGCACAGCCAGCCCAGGACAGCTTTTAATGCAGCCCAACACAATTTATAAACTTTCTTAACACATTATGAGATTTTTCTGCAATTTTTTTTTTTAGCTTATCAGCCATTGTTAGTGTTAGTATATTTTATGTGTGGCCCAAGACAATTCTTCTTCTTCCAATGTGGACCGGGGAAGCCAAAAGATTGGACACCCCTGGTCTAGGAGTTTTAAGATTCTTTGAAACTTCATTAAAAAGAACGTTTTATTATACTTTAAAAGTTTTTAAAATCCATATATCTTCTGAATATTAATCTGCAGATATCATGCTTTCATTGAAAAGGCATCTTCATTTTCAAGTTAATAAAACAAAATGCTGAGTTTACATGGGGAAGGCAACATTTGTAGACTAAATCAGATGCTGAAACTGACAAGAACACAAATTTGAACTGGGAAGACAATGACATATTGTGGGCACTAAAAGAAATGATCAGGGTGGTGAAAGGAGCCACTGAGCTTATTTATTGGCTACTATCTTTCCAACAGACTTCACAGAATCTGAATTCAATTTGTCCAGGTGAACTGATGGAAGAACAACCATCAAACCACAGTCTTTTTTTTCTCTGGGAGAACCTACCTGTAAGCAGAGGCTTCTGCATGGGCTGGAATGGGACACTGTAACAAAATGGTTTTGCATTCAAGTCAAGTAATTGTATGAATGCAAAGTAGCTTGCTCAGTAACAACTGGTTCAAGTTGCTATTGAGCAAGCAGTGGGCTCCTTGCTGATGTTCATAGAAGCCAATACTATGGCCCTGGCTTTTGAGGGGAAAAAAAAAAAAAGACTTCATTGTAAGTTGAATGGCAAGGAAGCAGGAGGCAAAGCTCAAATCTGTCTCCCTGAGCTGGGGGCTGTGGCAGGTTTTATAGGCAGAGGGTAATAAGGTGTGATCTGATTGGATCTTGTGATAAGTTAATGCCAGGAGGTATGATATGACTGGATTATGCCACAAGGTGATGCTATGGCTCAATATGATTGGATCATGGATCTTGCCGTGAGATGTCCACTTCTTTATTTGGTCCCCATGCCTTGCTCCAAGCACTTAGGTTCCACCCTGTGGTTGCATGCTTGGTTCATCTGGGCTTGGTCAGTTTAACTTGCAACCTGGGGGTCCACGGCAACTAAAACACAACTCACCATTTTATACACAAATTTGGACCAGTTTGGGCTACTCCTGCAGTTACAAAGTTACTATCACTCATTCACTCAGCTTTTACAATCTAATTGAGTAAGTGCACAAAACAGGAATCAACCACATATGTCTGAATGCTAGTTGAACTAAATGCCCTGAAGGAAAGCCACAAGTGCTTGGATGGAAAATAGCTTGTTAATTCAGCTCTCTAAACCTCATACTCCTCTTACATATAGGAGCTAACCAGGAAAAAATGTTAAGTGACAGGTTCAGATTCTGGTGTACATTAAATGCATGATAAATATATGTGTCAGCAGCTGATGGTGAAGTTACCTTTCTGAAGGTCAATGATGAAAAGATAAATTTTCTTTCCTGTGTCCCAGACTTTCATTCAATTATTTGTGCTCGTGTGTGTCTTTCAGTTCCAAGGAGGGTTTCGGGTCAGTGGAGAAGGTCGTGCTGCTCACGTTTCTCTCGGCGGTTATCCTGATGGCCATCTTGGGGAACCTGCTGGTGATGGTAGCTGTGTGCTGGGACAGGCAGCTCAGGTGAGCAGCAGGAGGGAACCTTTTGAGGAAACATGGGAGTTCTGAGCCGTCCCTGGAGAGTTGGGTGTGAACATTTCCATTTTAATTTGCAATTAAGAAAGAAAGCATTGATGGGAACAGTATTTTAAAAATAAAAGGAATGATAAAGGGATTGCAATTAATCCTACAACTCTAATACAACCAGTGTAAACACTTCAGTGTATTTCCATCCTGTCATTTTTTTTCTTTGTCAAATGTGTTTATAGTTGTGATCACTATATATACAATTGTTGAGAGCACATATAATCTAACCTCCCCATTTTACTAATGGTTTAGGGAAGATGTGGCTGACAAGGGACAGATCTAGAAATTAAACCTGTGTTTTTTGCACTTCTACTTCATCAGGCCCAACTTTGGCTGCAATTAGAACCACCCGAAGCACTTTTAAAAACTATCATCGTGGGGTATTAGCATATCTCATGTAATATTTTGGACATAGTTATGTTCAAAAAGTTTTATTTATTGCTAAAATTCAAATCTAATCAGCCATCCTGTATTTTATCTGGTAATCTTTGAGGGGAGAGGTGTTAACTCCCCAGGGTGCCTGAACTAACTGATTTGGAGTGAGACCTCAGCATCAATATCTATTAAAATGCATCAAATGATTCTAGTGTACAGCCTGGGATGAGAGCCTCTGGGCCATAAAAGGGTATAATGAAGCAGTTCCTCTCTAAGTAAGACATGCACACGTCTAATGATGATGCAAATAAAGTGTAAAAGCGCGATTCTGACCGGTGTTATAAATGTGAGTACACAGTAGCCAGTCTACTAGTGTAAAATGGTGGCCTGTCTCTACAGTCACAGGGCACACCTTGGGAGAGTTTCCTGAGAATGCCCAACCAAGGACTGATGGGTGGGTGGGATTAACTAGGGAACCCTTGGAAGAGAGAGCATCTGCATTGGCCCTCAAAAGGGACCTGTATGTGCAGGGGAACACAGATTAGTGCAGGGTGGCCAGAAAGGGGAGGAAAAAAGAGGTTTTGGTATAAGGTAGGTCTGGAGAAGTCAGGAGAGGCTGGACCCTGCTGGGTCTTCTCAGCCATGTTACAGAAGGGGAAACTGAATCTCATGAAATACGCTAAGCATGTGACGTTTTCTTTCCTCTTTACCCCTCCCTTCTTTTCTTCTTTCTTTGCTTCCCTTTTCCCTGTTTTTTCTCTTGATCTCTTCTCCCTCCTCTTTTTCCCTTCATCCCTCCCCCTGCCTCCTCTCTTACATTTTTTCACTCACAGGAAAATAAAAACAAATTATTTCATTGTATCTCTTGCTTTTGCGGATCTGCTGGTTTCGGTGCTGGTGATGCCCTTTGGTGCCATTGAGCTGGTTCAAGACATCTGGATTTATGGGGAGATGTTTTGTCTTGTTCGGACATCTCTGGACGTCCTGCTCACAACAGCATCGATTTTTCACCTGTGCTGCATTTCCCTGGATAGGTAAGGACAGAACAATGTGCACAGTGGAGCTCTGTGTTGGAGACAATGACTTGATGGATATTGGGCAGTGTCTGCCTTTTCTTATTCATTAGAAGAAATGAATCTCAGAGAGGTAAATTTGGTAATTCAGTTATACAGTCACTCTCCAGCCTTTGCAGAGGCCCCCTTTTTAGTCAGGCCCTCTCTGGGGCACTGTAGATGTGCAGATTAGTAAGACCTAGGACCTGTGTGCAAGGAGTTTGCAATCTAAATAGCAATAGATGTCAGCAATCAAGTTTACTGTAGAGCTCTACATTTTATACTAATGGCATGAACAAAATTCCGAAGAAGCTGAGCATCACGAATGAGTACATCTTCCCAGAGGGCAACGGGGGTGGTTCAGAATGAAAATGCCCTATGTTTGAACATAACCTTTTCTTGAAAATATGTTTCTGTAGCAATTTGATATACATATTTGTGTATGTGCATGAATTGTGGAGACTCTTTTCCAGAAAGTTACAGATGATAATAAACTTCCCAATAATTTTATATTTTTCGGACCCACGTCTAGAATTTCATTCTTGTTGCATAATTTTATTCTCTTTCTTCATATTTGACTTCAAGAGACCTAATGATTTCCATCTTTGCCTCGTTTGTCACAGATTTATGTATTTATCACTTGTATCATCACTATTCATTTTCCAATTCCTGATAATTTACATTTCATCATAAAGGTAGAATGCAATCTAAAGTCAGATGATTACACAAACATATGCTGTTATCAATGCAGTCGTATCTTAGGGGTTAGCTCTCAGAAAAATGTGGGGTACAAATCACACGTAATCAGAATTACCAGTGACAATGATTTCTTACTGTCTCTTGAGCAGCCCAACAAACCCAAGTTTTCCTCCAGTCTTGAGATAGATCACTGTTTTAAAATTTATTTTTATTTATTCTTATTTATTTTTTATAGAGACAAGTCTCACTATGTTACGCAGGTTGCTCTCGAACTACTGTGCTCAAGTTATCCTCAGGCTTCAGCCTCCCAAAGTGCTGGGGTTACAGATGTGAGCTATTGTGCCCAGACAATCACTGTTTTTTTGAATTGACGACTAGGAAAAGTAGTTGACTGAAACTAGAGATTGTGGTATATCTAACATACAGACTTTTAAACGCTAACATCACAGTCTTCCCAGAGAATTAATCACACTGGGGGAGGTACTTGGAGACTGAAACCAGTTGAGGGGACAGCAGGTTCGTCTCCTATTTCATGGGACATATGTGCATTGATTGGAATGGCAGGCATAATGGCCTGCTCTATTTAAATTGCTTTCTCTTTTGCTCTGTCAAGAACGTATAGTTGGATTTGCTTAAGTTAAATGCATGTATAATGAGACTCCACTCTATAGCTAGAGATAATGACCCTGGTAAAATTGAACTGATGGCAAGCAACCAGACCCATGGCATGTAATAGTTGGAAATTTGTGTTTATTAGCTTGTTTACAACAATCTGACTTCAGGACATGAAAGACTTTTAAAGACAGTCAGGATACACTATATGAAAGTTCTTATTATAGGAAATACAATGTAAGGAAGTAGAAAATCTATGGAAATCCTGCTGGGTAACTTGCACATGATCATTGTTAAAAATGAGTAGTGAGACTGAAAGTACTACAGGAATTTGGAGAAGGCCAGGCAGGGGAGATGGGGGCAGCTGAGGTAATCTCAAGGCCTGGGTAAAAGCAAGAGTAAGAAAAAGAGCCAGTCAGCCAGGAAAAAAAAAAAAAATGGGAGAAAGCGTAGAATCAACTGTCCGATGTGGAGAGTTTGCTTTGCGCAGCCCTGAAAGAAGGTCTAGAGGTTTCCTAGAAAGGTTTGGCTTCAGATTTATGCTTACATACTTTTCAAATCAGGAAAATTTTCCTGAGTAGGTATGAGTTATCATGAAACAGGATGAATTGGTCATTAAGAACCATGTGCTTTAGAATTGAAGAGATTTGGGTTCAAATCCCAGCTTTTAAAATGTTTAGTTCTGAGAATGGCAATAAGTGATTAAGCCTTTCTGAGTGTAAGCCTTTCTTGTCTCTAAAACTTGGGGAGGTAGCACCTATTTTGTGTGACTGCAGTTAGGTATAAATTGGATAATCCATTTAAGGCATCACTTTGGCCCGGCTTGTCATGGTACTCCATGTTAGTGGATGTTGTTGTTAATGTCAGTTTCTTGTAACTAGCTGTACAACTCATGATCTTTCTCATCAAACTTGCAGCTCCTCAGTGAATAGCTGCTCCAACAGCTGCATCATCTAGAAACCAGGTAGTTATTCTAAGAGCAGTCTTTCCTCATCTCCTACATTTAAATAATGAGAAGTCCTGCTCATTTTCTTTCCTAAAGAGATCCTAGTCTATTTCTCTCTATCATTTATCCAAAGTAATATCATTTCTTGAATAAACCACTCAACACTTTCCTAATTATTCCCTTCAAATATGTTTTATTCCCTCCCCATCTACTTGTCACTCACAAGATCAAATAGTCATCTTTTTAAAATGCCGCCCTGATACTGTTGCTCCTTTGCTTAAAACCCTTCAGTGGCTATTTATTGTACTGAAGATCAAGACCAGACTCATACAGGGTTTTTCATCCTCTGTTTGCTGTCCATGTCCCCAGCTTCCCTTCACCCTCTTCCTAACCTCACCCCCAGGTCCGAGTCACCTTGGCCTTCTTTCTAGTTCTTCAGGCCTCTCTGCTCAGTCACCTGAGGCCTTGGCTTTTCCCTCTGCCTGAAAAGCTCCTCTGCCCCTCCTCTCCTGCATGTCTTTCAGATTTTAGCTAAATCTTCTCTTCTTTGCAGAAGTCTTCGCTGACTCCATCAAAACCATTTTTCTCCTTTGTAGAACTCAGTGTAATTATAGTTAAAATCAAGTCTATACTTTCTTCTTAAATGTCTTTCTATTCCAATGGGAGGAAGCTCAAGGCTACGAACTTTGAGCAAGGTCCTTGCCCTCAAAGAACTTGCATTGTTATGCGGAGGTTGACCATTAACCAGTCATTGCATAAATACTTATTTAGGTATTTGGCAAACAGGACTGAACAAATGGAGTGGTCAGCACATGCTCTTTGTGAAAGTCATGCCAATAATTGCACTTCTTTCTCTGACAGTGGATGTCAACAACTCCAATACCATAAGTGAGATATCAGATGGGGTTTCTTTTGTTTTATTTTCCTTGAGGAGCTTGGGGATCTTGTCTCCAGCTTGTCTCCAGCTTTCCCTGTCTCATAGTGCTGGAGGGTCCATCCTGAACATTGCAGGGCAATGTTTTAGCCTGGAAGAGTATGGTTTTATTTATCATCTAGTGTCTGTTTGGCTGTGTTCTTCCCATGCTAACAGTTTGGTTCAGCTGGGCTGGGCCAAAGCACGGAGTGAA